AACCCAAATTTAATATAAACTTTTGACTTATAATCTCTTCGGTACCTGGAGACACTCTTTAGATATACTGATTTAAATAATAATTTTCCGTCCCAAAAGAGGTTTGAATCCAGAATATAAGAGAACCAACTTCCTTGTGTTATCACTAGGCCACTATCATTTTGATAGCATATATATTTAGTTAATTCCACTTTCTCATTTCTCATCTACCAATATAAATTACGGATTGATGGATTGGTGATAAACAAAATTACGGATAACGATTATGAAAAGAAAACAGAAGAAAATTTTCAAAAAGAAAAAACAAACAGAAGTATGCACAAGTAAAATGAAGTATGCACAAGTCACCTACCTGGCGTTTCTCAAACAAAAACAAAAAACCAACAACAAAAAGTCACCTACCTGGAGGTGCAAATGTATCCTTCACCCCACCGGCCGAACTGGAGTTGCAAAGATCCACGTGCTCTTTTTGATGAAATGACAAGAATTATGACATGTCGTTTAATGAATATTCAGCTTTTAATATTACACTTATACATGTTATGAAATGTCATTCTGTTTTACGATAATTAAGTGTCGTTTTATCACGTTTCATATGAATTAATAAGGAGGTTAGTTTGATTACTCTAATCTCAATTGCCAACACATTAGAATATTCATAAAATTGCCTAAAATAATTGTTCAAATATTGTAGTATTAAATTTTAGCATTAAATTGAACAAAAATGAATATTTATTTTTGATAAAAATGAAATAAACTTATTATTTTAAAAAATAATATGATTAGAACATTGAAAAATCACCTAACTAATTCACAAAATAGTAATACATAAACAAACTAACAATGTTTACTAATTTACTGTAGGTTTGGTTACTTCGATTTAGTTTCATATAATTCGAGTTAGGTTTAGATGAATTGATTAATACATAAATTTCTATACCCATTTGAATTATTATATATTTAAATTCAGATTCTAATTTGTGAATTTCATTCGGTTTGATTTGGTTTAGGTATAGAATTCCGTGTATATTGTTC